TAGCTGGATCTTAAATGCTTGTATTGATTCTGTGTGTATGATTTTGATAATACATACGTAATATATAAATTCACACAGAATCATACAAGCATCTAAGATCCATCAAATAATAAAATAATCACATATGTTGCAAAAATAACTAAAATTAAAATTTCATGTTTTTTGAAAAATAATTTTTTTGTAATCTTTATTGTATATATACAGAGTGAATCGTTAAAACTTTTTACACTATGAGAAAATTATCGACTTCATATCTAATTGAATTATAACGTATGTCAATTATTATATTTTCTCATAGGGTAAAAAGCTGTTCAACGACTCTGATTCACCCTGTATATGTCACAATTCAAGTGTTAACTCAATGAAAGTATATATAATATTCACTGTAATATTTACTGTAATCTGTTGTAGTCAATGTACACATTTACTAAAGTTAATTAACTTTAATTGTAATATATACATAAACATAAATATTTTTTTCATCAAATTTGTTCTTTCTTCTATTTGTCCATTCATCCAGAAATCCTGCACTGCATAACTTTCAAGATATTTCCGCGTGGGTTCGCCCACGCTTGCAATTTGATCCCGGAGCAAGCATCTTCAAATGATAACCGAGCGAAGAATGGCAAAGCTCATGGTGACTACGAATCGAGCATCTGTCACTTATCGAAATTATATAATTGCGACAATAATGTTGCAGATATCTGCATTGCGTATAACAATTACGGGTAAAATATACAGCTGCCTCTATAAAATGTACTAGAATTTCTGTCACTCTCACTTATCTTTGGATTTATCTTAAATTAAAAGCGTATTAAAATAAAACTCGTTTAATAAATACAGAAATACAAGAGCGTCTATAATATTTTGGCTTTTACTGTACAGCTAAAACATTAGACGCTTTTGTATTTCTGTATTTATTAAGCAAGCTTTATTTTAATGTGCTTTTAAGACAATTCCAAAGGTATCTCAAAGTGAGAGAGAGAGAGAGAGAGAGAGAGAGAGAGAGAGAAATTCTAATACAATCTTATTAATAAGAGAATTGTGCTCAAATTTTTTACACAGATACTCAAACGTAATAATAAAACAATCTATAAAATTTTTATATTTTTCAACACTTTAAATTGTGACACAGACATCTTTATGAAATGTGATTGATTGCAACCTTTTAATCTAAATCTAAAATTTTTTTTCTAATTAAATAAAACAATATTTCATTTTACAATCGTTTTAAATATTATCATCAATGTCTGAAATTATATAAATATCAAAATATTCGTTGAGATTAAAAAATAATTGCTTTCTCATAAAGAACGTACGTCGCGCGAAGAGAGAAATTTCTTGACATATTACGTCTCGTTACTAGATAATGCCACCTGCCTCCGACGACGACAGGGAGAGATTTCCGTGAAGCAAATAGATATGATTTTGCGAGTACTGCATAATACAAATGAATCCTAGCAAGAAGACGCGTATTGCAAACGTTCTCTTTAAACGATTGTCTCCGTCACTAACTTTTCGGTTTTTCAATGTTGACAGCAAGCGCTGGAGATAGAGCAATAATTGTCAATCCAGAATGAGTCGAGAAAGTCGGCGTTGTAACATCATTTAACTAAGTCGCCGAGCACAAGCACGATGGTTATGACTTAGCATTATAGCACATTTCAGCGAACGTTTATGCACACGGTTAGGATCTCCTAAACGACCAGTTATAAAAGGAATTTGCACACGCAAGTTATACTTTCGCTACGTTCATTCACAGCGTATTCGCAAATTGAGCTTTCAATAATTTCGATCACAATGTGTTCAACAGCTTTGTAACTGTTGTAAAATTCTTTAATATGACTGATCCTCAGTTTCTCACTGGATATAAATATATAAACTAATCATATTAAAGAATCTTGAACGCAACCAATAATAGCGACAGCGTAATCGGAAAGGTGAGGAGAAAAAAAGAGAAGAGTGAAAGTTATACTCTAATTTTTTACCGATGATCATGATCGAACGGTAGGAAATACGTCTTTGCTGTAAGTGATCACTTGCGTGATCGACGAAAAAAAAGATGAAAAAACTTAGCGAGGTAAGATGTTAAAAATGCTTACTGCACGAAATTTATGCCGCTATTAGAAGGGATTAGAAGATACGACGAAGTCGCGGGTAAGACGATAAATCCTTTCTTTCCTGTACCGCCCACGGTGATTCGGTTTAACGTTAACGACCGACCGAGGAAACCGACCACGGTATGGGTCTGATCGATCGCGTTCAGTGGTAGCGGTCGCGTCGCGATCAGACGCGCAAGTGGTCGTGGTCGACGTAAAGGCCATTATCGACACGCAGTGGTTACAGTCGATGCGCGATCCGCCGTGAGGAATTGATCGTAAGAGCTAAAGTGATCTTTCTTCGCGGCGTTCCGCTCATTGACGTATTATTTGAGCCTTCGATCGTCATTTTCTCTTTTGACCAATCATTTTTCTTTTGCTTTATTCTGTCACCGAAAAGAATTTCTATTTCGATTTATGTTACGTGATGAAATCTCATTTCGCGGGACAGTAAACAGAAGTGCATTATGAGCAGAATGCTCATAATAAATTGAAATTTTTTTATAATCTTCAATTTAATCTATATCTTCAAAGAGAGTAGCATTTTTTTAAAGTAAATCATTTATCTAAGTCAAAGTTTTTCAACCGATGCACTGCAAAGGGTTTCCATGTGTACCGCAAAGATTTTAGAGAAGGTAAAAAGAAGCAAAAAAATTTAGGAATAAGTAAAAAGCGAATATAACGTGAAGTAAAAAACATTTTGAAAAAAATATTTTGGGAAAATATTTTCAGAAATGAACTTTTTTGTACTATAGTTCTAAATGTTGTGTTAGTGATATTTACATAAGAAACCTACACTAGCGCTGAACATGTGTATTCAGTAATGTATTTCAATAAATTTGGCTTTTTTAATATGTCGTAAATTGGAAAAGGTAGAAAAACGTTAATCTAGATATTTATCTTTAGAAGGAACTTTTTGAATTTTCACTCCGAGCTAAAATAACAAATTTCATCATTGAAGGACCGCAGTAATCCGAGCGAATTGCATGGCGTCGGAATGCTAACATCGAAAAGGAAAAGCCAAATGATGAATAGCGAAGTTACTAAGCCAATAAAAATCACAGGAGGAGAGGTACGTGGTTGCAATGCCTGGGAATAGAAAACATTTTCGGATGACACTTCTATTACAAGAGCGCGAGGAATCCGTCCCTCCGGACACTCTAGGCAAGAGAGTAAAGGAGGAAAGGGAAAGACCGGAATGACATGAAGAAACGAGAGACGGCAGATGGAAATTCTCGAGAGAGGCGTAGTAGGCGGATTTGAGGGCACTGAAAACTTTAAGAGAAGTTACAGTCGAGAATCTGTAAACCTTTGCATTCCTTTGAGGAAAGATATTAACAAAGGGAGGCTCAAAAGTGGCCTAATTTCAATGAAATTTGACACAAAATTATAATTTATTTTTCCTTGAATATAATTGTTCCTCTATTTTTTTTGGGGCGTAAACAATTAATCTTTTCCAAGATATTTCAACATTAAATTTAGTAGCGACATTTCCTTTAGAGTTTATTAAAACGTTTATACTTGAGTATTAATAGCATTATAGTGAAAACTCTCTAAAGCTTCAATTTATCCTAAAATCAGAGTTAAGATACTCTCTGAATCTTTTGGAGTAAAAATTGAGTCATTCTTAAAAAAAAAACGTCAGACGTGAAAATTTCTCACTTTTGTTCAAGAAAGAAAATATTTTTACTCTTTTTTCAAGACTGGCTTAATTTTCAGTCTTTTGGAGTGAGATTTCACTCCAAAAAAGATTTAGAGAATAGTAATTCGTGGTCATTAAAATCGATAAAGTCAATTTTTAGTTTTGATCTCCTTATAATTATGAAATATTCTAAATACGAAATATTTAACAGCAAGAACAAATTGTAGGAATCGCAAACAAACGGTGTGGATAGCAATAAATGCTAGATAAGGTATGAAAATTTTATATAAAATAATGTAAGACGCTCACTGATTGTTAGAAAATGTGCTTTTTGTAGCATTGCTCATCATACTTGTATATCTTAAGGTTCCTACATAATTATGTTGACAAAATTATTTTCAATATCGATATCTAGCTAAATTTTTAGATACTTCAACAAAATCATTCTGTAGGTGAATACACCACTGCATGAGAATCGCCGTAACTTTCTCATGCTGCGATTTTTATTCTTATTTCAGCTCTTTTACCGAAGTCTTTCTTGCTCCCTCTCGCCACAGCTGGCAGTAAATCTCGTGGTACTCGTCTATCGCTCTGAGTCCAAAGCTGTGAAATCTTCGCTTTATCTCCCGGACACCAACTCAATCATGCACTTTTACATCTCGTCCGGATTCGCAGGCAGAATCGAATCTTGCATAAATGTAAAGAGGCACGAAGTTACGGGAATCAATGACCTTTCTTATCGTCATACTTTTGTAATGTCGATCAATGGATAATGTCGACTACTGTGATAATGGACCACGACAGTGGATGCGATGACAATTTAATTAAGACGAATATTATTTTCAATTAGAAGAATAATGTTTTAACACCGAATACGAAATCAGCTTTGGTAATTAAAAAATTCGATCCGTTTCAATTAAATGATTTAATAATAATAATAATAATAATAATAATAATAATAATAATCAATGTCTACATATATAGCATGCATATGCAGCATAAATATTAATTAGATATTTATAGAGAAAAAAATAATTTTTTTTCAATAAATTTAATGAAATTTATTATTGTAATTATTAAAATTATTATTTATTTATTATTGAAGTTATTTATTATTTATTATAATTATTTATCATTTATTATTTATTACAATATGCAGCAAATTATTATTAAAAAAACATCTTTTCAATTAATAGAACAAATGATATATTTAATTAAATAATTAATTTTTGCGGAAAAAATGAAAGAAAAGGACTCACCAAATGCTGTTTGATAAAATTTCCTAGCGGAGATAATTTTCGGACACTGGATCTGAAATTCCCCGATCCGTTCCTGACCTGTTGCTCTCTTCTATAAAATAAAAGTACATTAAATTATTGGATAAGCTTTCTTTTGGTCTTAATGTCAGATTTAGAAAAAAAAAGATAGTTTAATATAGTTTGAAATATTTTACAAATACGAGCAATAACAACACAATAACAATTTTCCAGGTTTAATTGTGAGAGTATAAGTTCAAATAACATTTGCATTAAGAATAATTTTCATTTATTAATTTCGTTTAAATATTTATATTATTATTTGTTTTACATTATACATATTTATTATTACATTACATATTTATTATTTATTTTTTTTATTTCGTAGAAAAATAGCATTCATTTGTGAACCGCAAAACCATCTTCGGAAATAGCATGATACTCGCAATAACAGAATAAAAAGTGTACTTGAAATACGCCTCGTTTCAATATAGAAAGATTCTCGATTTCTGGAAAGTGATATCGGATTTTGTTAGAATTTTGATGCCACTAGTGACAAGTATCGATATATCTTCCCATTTTTCTTTCCCCAACAAAGTTACCTTCGGATTTTCACTCCTTATTGTAACCTCAACGAAAACCGATACAAATTCCTCAATGCCTCTTGCATCGCAAGAGATAGCACCTTTATATTTGAATTTCAGGTGTAGTGATACGCATGAAATATATTATTGCAGTTATATTTAAATAGATAAAAATTTGATTCAAAATATTCTAAATTAAAATAAAATAATATTTGTGGTTCCAAGAATAAATCTTATATAAATAAAATACCTATGTAAACATCTACGAATAATTAATGATAATGCGTAAATTATATATTGATACAGATATATTTATAAATACAATATATTTATAAATATATTTATAAATACAATTCATAAGCAATAAAGAGGTACTTGATAAAAAAAGTTAAAAATAAAAATGTAAAACCTCTGCGTAATAAATTTTCTATTTTTATTTCGTTTATTAAATATATTTTAATTGCTTGCAAATTGTATTTGTTTTATAAATATAAGTATAATTTACGCATTACAACAATCGCAGAGGCTCACATTTTGTTTGTATTAGATTAAAAATATTTTTCTTTGTCAACAAATATCGTGAAATGAGTTTTGTTGTATTCTACCATCGAGATTATTATTTTGCTTCAAGCTTACTTTCTCTGTATGAATTTTCAATGCTGTATGTAGAAATATGTAATATCTAGATATCCCAGATTTTATGTTTACTAGAAAAACCAAATAGCTACGTCGCAACTTTTCCGTAGCAATATTCTCGTTGACGGAATACTGGCTCAAATGTCGGGACTTAATTCAGTCCTTGCAAACATTGCTCAGCTTGTAGTAATTAATGCGGTCAGGTCTTCATCTCACAAAGGAAAGCGTCAACTCAGAGAATCATAATAGCTCTAGTCTTAGGATGATGGACGTGCGAAGAAATGTTCCATTCGTGGAAATTTCATGACGAGATTTCACAGTTATCCTTTCAGGGCTACTTCCATTTCTTCGCAGAAAGACGTAAAACCAGAAATTCAGAAAGAAAAGTTGAGAAAGACGAGGAAACGCAAAAGATAGAACGGAAATGTCGGTCACGATGTTTTACGTTTTCAGTCTGCTCCTCAATGCGTGAGAAATTCATATAAAAGTAAGCTACACTGTAAGCTATGCGTGTGTGTTTCTTTACATTATTCAGAAAGTGCTGATCATCACTTTTATTTTTTTTCTATGTTCTTTGTAGTCGTCGAAAAAATACTGTCTATTGTAAGTAGATAACTGAGATAATTCTACAATAATTAAAAAAAATGAACAACAGTATGTAATTCATTAGGAGATTAACAATATAATTGTTCTAACAAGAAAACTGTCTTATCTAACATAAATACTTGTAGTTATCGCAACAGTATTTGTGAAATTAGTTTTGCGATAAGAAACTAGCAAGAAGACCTAACATGATTAATCGAGTTGTTCGGTGAGTATCGATTTTCTATATCGCTCTGTTCTATAGGATACATTTTTTCTAAATTTTAGTGGCAATAAATGTCAGGAGCAGACACAAAATACGACGATCGGTGAAATACGGGTGTATCGGTGGAGTACCCATGTGGAATATCAAAGAATAATGACTGAAAGTCGAGGTGAGGCGCTGGTTGGAAAATAGGAGAAGAATATTGATGAGTCTCGGAATCTTTCCTCCTTTTCGTTGTTTAAATAGTTCCGTTTCCATTTGCTTATTTCCAATATTAGGGAACAAAATCCAATAATTGATAAAAAGATTAGTATCGAAGCAAAAGTTTATTTACTTAGACTTTATTCATTAGACTTTATTTATTAGACTTTAGCATTATTGTAATATATATGTCTTACTTACACAGTGACGACATTTATTTTACGGTTATAAAAGCAAATAAATTTTTCAGAATTTCAGAGAGATATAATTGTATATAAGTGTAAATGCAGAGTAAAATAATTTGGTTAGTCATTAGAACTATTAGAAAATTTTGGACTATCATGATTAGTATAAATATCTGTATCTAATATATATATTTCATATATATTTTAAAATTTAGAATGTTTTTCTTTCTTAAAACCTACGATCTATAATTCGCGATCAAATTCAGAACAGAATTCTGTTTATAATATTACGAATAGTTCAACATGAAAAACATATTGAGATACATATTTATATTTAGGATATGTGTGAATTCTAAATAGAATTTTACCTTGAATTTAGCCGCAAATTATAGATCGCTTAAAGTGGGCTTTACATTGTAATCATAAAATAAACTAACCCTGGCTGTCCTACTTTTAGGCTTAAAGCATTGATAGAACTGAGACGAATGGCAAGTATGTATGTAACAATGTGCCGTGCGATTTGGACTTTTGTTTTACGAGAACAAACTAAATTGCTGCAGCGAGCGATGGACTTGATTTACCGACGTACATACAAGCGACGATCTCGTAGCCCGTGTCTCGATACTCCGTTGCACGTGCAGAAACATACACTTCTAGAAAAGCTATTCGTTTTGCGACGAGTTTGTTGGCGAAAAGAGGGGAGGAGAGCAATAGTTTTAAAAGTTTCGCGTACGTGCAAACAAAGGAATTTTTTTATCAAATCAACGCGATGAGATCTACGTGACAGAAATTCTCGAAAATCGAAATGTGGACCCGGTCTAAACGAAACGCGGATCGTAAAATATGTGATACGAGTACAATTCAATATATGAAACATTCCGTATGTTTTAGAAAGAATTAACGTGAATTCTTTCAACTCTTTCTCGTTTTCGTATTTTCGTTCTTCGAGTCCATCGCCACTACTCTTTGGGTCATGCTGTGATTTATCACAGACAGCGGTTTATTGACCTCCTTCTGTCTTTCTGCCCTTCTTTTCAACTGTAATTTATTATCCCGCCGTCGAAACACTCGCGAAACAAGTATTCGTGTATAAGCCAACGGACGTTTTACGCTTTTCTTTTTCTTCCATTCACTAAAGGAATCATCACAAATTTTTAAAATCGACTATAGTTGCGATCAATCAATCGATATAATCTTTCCTTTTCTTTTTAGATGCACGAAATACATAAATTTGAGAGAGGAAAGAACAAAAAAACGATTTACAATTGTTATTTTGACAATCAATTTTCAAATGGATTTAAATAAACTCGATATCTGGTAGATAAGAATTTAAAACAAGACTAATAAATTTGTAATGTATTTTAAGCCAAACGAGAGAAAAAAAAATATTTTGAGAAGAAAATAACAGAATATAAAATTTTACAAATAATCTATGGCTTTCGTGTAATTGCTTTTAGATATTATAGGAAAGTAGTAAAGTAGTAAATAGTAAAGTAGTAAGTAGTTGAATCGTTATTAACGTCACAATTAATTATTGAAAACGAGCTGATGAGATGCACGAACGGATTGAAGGTCATACTTACAGTGACAATTTCGTTTCATTATCATATGCGTCAATGGCAACACGACTCAAAGCTGGAAGACTGCTTGCTTCACAGGGTGGATTGCTGAGATCTAAAATAAAACGGAAAAAGCTTTTTCAAAGAACGACGTATACTGCGTCTCACTTATATAAATTTTACGAGGGGATAGAAAACTTAATCTTGCCTGAAAGCAGAATGTGTAATCCTGGAAAAGGATTCAGAAAATTAAGCCTGCTCGACCTGACTTCTATGTACTGAACTTTTGTATCTCGTCGCATATACTTCGCAATAATAATTAATCATGTTCTAGAAATTAGCCGGACAATTAATCCCTCGACAAAATTACGGAAATAGATTTGAACATGTAATATAACATAAATAGAATAAAAAGGACAAGTAAAATATATAATTTTTGTTACATATAGTTAAGTTACACAAAAAAAAAATCTGTCGGAAAAGACTGTAAATAATTTCTTTCAAAACTGACCACTCTCTCAGTCAATATAATAATAATTATATACAATAAATGAAACTTTAGACCAAAAATAAATCAAATCAAAGGAATAATCCTATTTTCAGTCAAAGCGTCAAAGCGGATTTTGATAATTGAATATTATCATATTTGTAAATCAAATTTGCAAATACATTTTTCTAGTTCTACAAACTGCGCGCCAATTCGGTTTACCAGATTTGAAACACAATTATAAACTAAAACTAGAAACATCATAAATTACGTTCAATAATAAACAATAATGAATAATAAAAAGGTTAAGAGCCAAATTTTTCGTTATTTAGATTCTTAAAAACATACATTTTTACCTATTTGTCAGGTCCTCAATCTATACATGTCGCTAAATTAACGCAAATTTAATAAAAATAGTAAAATGATTAAATACAATTTCTGCAAATTATAGTTACGTAAAGTGGTGAACCTATTTCTTCATGTCTGTTTTCAGTCGCAACAATGCAATGCTTTCCGTCTTGTCATCTTCGTAGTTACATTCTTCTATTATATCAGTCGCAATTTATCGTAATAATAATAAAATTAATTGAACATGTAGAGTCAGCATCAGTTCAACATATAGAGAGAACATGATAACAGAATGTGTGCTTGCATAATTTTACGGAATGACTCTACATGTCAATTAATTTTATTATCATTACGAAATTGCTACTGATGTAATAGAAGAATTTAACTATGAAGATGACGAGACGGAAAGCATTGCATTGTTGCGAATGAAAACAAACATGAAGAAATAGATCCACTACTTTAACTATAATTTGCAGAAATTGTATTTAACCGTTTAATGATTTTGATTAAATTTACGTTAATTTATTGATATGTACTCTAAAGATGACTTAACAAATAGTCGAACGTATATGTTTTTAAGAATCTAAATATACGAAAAATTTGGCTCTTAGCCCTTCTGTTATTCATTTTTATAAATTACGTTGTTTATCAATTTAATAATGATGCTAATAAACATCTTAAAACACTGCGAAGAGCTTAATTGTGAAAAATATTATTTCAACCAGAATTCAAACGTGAATCTCTTTCATGAGTATGCATATGAACAAGCACTAAGATCTTTTGATCGAATAGAATTATTTCTCTTATTTGAATAACGTAGAGGAAAGGCCCTGATTATGAAATACCGAGTTCATTTTGGGTAAATACTAGAAGTCTATAGAATTTAAAAAAATAATAAAGGTCATTTTAAAGGGAATTTAATAAGCTTTAAGATAAAATTTATATACATATATATAATTCAAATTCCATTTTTTTTTAAATTAAAGAAAAAAGTGAGCAAATCGTAAAGTCAAAAAATTGTGCTCCTAATATGAGATGCCCCGAGAAATAGTAAAACGCAAAGTATATCAATGTATTGCAGTTAAAAAAAACTTTATTTAATGTTTTCAAAATACAAACAAACACAACCAGCGTGCGTGAAAAATGAGCATGCGATAGATTATATCCAGAACTCGTTTTCCATTCCAGAATTAGTTGGAATCAAGCATCGCAGATATAAACACTCGACATTCATTTCGGTTGTCTTTTTTATTATTGTACAATAACATTTATACTTTAACAACGATTTTCATTATAATAGGAGCATGGATTATTTCATAGAGACATCCTGGATATTTCATATTATAATTTCCACGTTTTATGATCAAATCTAACTTCTGTAATTAAAATTAAATTCAACATATCCCCGTATTTTTCTATTAGTACGACCTAATTCTATCACTATATAATTTAGAGAATTTATTGCTAAATATTTATTTATTCAATGAAACTTGAAGACATCCAAATTCTAAAATCTTGTTTTACAATGATTACAGGCATGATCTAATAAATTTCTACTAAATAGTTTTCAATCCAAGAGCAATGAATTCATGATGGAACCAATAGATAGCGTTTATTAGTTTAGCAGAAACGCCGCTATCTCATATTAAGCGCCTATCTCATAATATAGGGGACTTTCTTTTAATAATAATAAACAATATAATCACCTATATTGGAGTGATAGTAATCGCTGTGCCGTCCGTAAGGAGGTGCCAATGGATGTGACAAAGTATTCACCCTTCGTTTAAGATTAGTAGTCTGCAAAACAAATCAAAACGTCTCATGTAAATTCTATTTAATAAATTGCTCCATTGTATAAGTACATTCGGGAAAGATCGCATAAATATAACAGATCGCTATTATATATAACAGATGAGTCTATTGATCATCACAAGGTAGCTATAAAAAAAGGAAAGTCACGGCGCGTAAGGTCTTCCCTAAGGATTTCGATAAAAAATTTATAGAATGCTCGGAACATATTTTCCTTTTTCATGATGAGATTAAGATTTGTGTTCTATAGGAAGAAAGATCTAATACGGTCATTAAGTTAAAAGCTTGCTTTTTATTCAGACTCCTTACGAAAAAAAATTTAAATTGTGTTTTTAAGTACATTAAATTGCATTGTTAATGCAAACATAAATTACGTTATCAAGTAAGATTGATGCAATAATCGTAAAAAATAAATAATCGATAAGTTTCATTCTATGTGTATCTTTATTTATTGTTATTTTATTTTTTATTGTTATTTGTATTTTTATTATGATCTCTTTATAAGAATTTTAATGAGTATTTTAATAATATGAAGTGCTCTACTTATATGACGTATTGTAATTATTGCAAAATTATATAATATACATTATATGTGTGTATTTGGAAAAGTTCTTCTCTAAAAAAAAAGATTTGAAAAAATGAATATAGAAGGAGAATTTACAAAAAAATTCATAAACTTTGGCACCATTCAACAGTCGTCGCCACCATTAATTGTCGACGTGGAAACAGGATGAGTTTTTCGAGAGGAAAAAGCGTCTATAGTGCAAGAAAAAAAGAGAAAAAGAGAAAGAGAGAGAGAGAGAGAGAGAGAGATGAAAGATGGGGGAGAGCGGAAGTCTCATTACGCGTGCAACTTTTTTATTAGCTATCTGCACATAAATAGCACTGTAAAAACTGCCTACTATCTTGTTAAATACACGATGTTTATTGCTTTTCCGATCAATCGTACAAAAATTAAAAATTTATTTTACCATCAACAATATTTGACAAACTTTTACTCCGCAAATGTCAATTAATGTATAACCATTAATGACAGCAAATTATTCATTGTCCGCTAATGTACAACTCATCTCATTCGTAAATACGAACAGATTGACTATATTGCTAGCGTCAAATTGCCGATCGTTCGCGAAATGGTCGTGTGGCATTTTCGCGAGAATCTCTCTATAGAGAACAACGTACCAAACGTGGCAATTATAAGGCTGTTTAGGTCAATTAAATTGCGGATTCGTGAATAATTGCGCTATTATGTGCATTAATGGCATTCTTGAGATATTTCCGTTCGTTGGATTGCAAAGTCAGTGAGTTTATCTCATAAACGTGTAATTGTTACACTTTCAGAGATCATCCAGAGAGCAGCCAAATAATCCGCAAGTCAAGTTGTCAATAAGGCATCGTAAGTCGGCGCTACAAACTATGTGCGCAGACCGCGATTGTATCATGTTAAACGTAGACACTGGTACGGATGCAAATGGGTTAAACGCTTAGCCGATTTCGCGTGCAAGATTTAGATCTGATTGTACCTAAAGCCGCGATTCAGGTGTTTGGATTCCTACAGAACAATAGTCCCGGTTAGAATCCGACGATATCGTTGAATACGCTTTCCTCGTGAAATCCTGGTTTACTAAAACGATTGAATCAGCCTTGAATAGTTGAATTCGGAATTCAAAAAGCAGCCAACGTATTTCATACTGCGGACGTTCCGCAGTTTTGAAACAATCTCTAAATCCACTGTAAATCCGCAACGTTATGTTTTAATCGCCGTTTTAATCTCGATTAATTAGACTTTCAATTAGATTTGATCCAAGAATAAAATAACAGATTATTTATCAGTAAATTATAATAAGTATGTGTTTAAACTTTAATTTCTTTTATATCATCCTACTAATTTTCATATAAAATTATGATTTGATAGTCACGAGCTAATCGATCATTTTCGTTAGTAAAAACGTTTCATCACTTAAATTATCATCAGTGTTTTACCCGCCATATAAATCGATAGTCCCGATTCGTTCGTGCACGGCACGGATTCATGCTGGAAGCTTCCGGCTAAAGTTTTCCTTAAGCGTGATTTACACGGGACGACTTTTATTCGTTAGAAGCCGCGTCTAGTGACGTCATAGTGAATTCGCTACTAGAAACTTTTTGTAGACGTGGGTTTGTTCTTATAGCGTATAGTCTCGGCCAATATCGCTTTCGACGCTTGTCGCTAGTTTCTTGCTGCTCCTCGAGAGCGAATTTTCAAATCGTCAGCGTGAAAAGACGAATTTTTTCGAAACGCCTCGACTATTCAGACCATAAGCAGAGAATAATCATGTCATCGAATGATATACTTCGAGCCGCTGTTGTGTTTTGTGACCAACTATTCGCTTGATCATTAGCGACCACTCGACGCTGCGACTTCAAAATTTTAAACGCTAGCGAATAAAAACTAAATGTGTACAAGAAGCTTTCATCAGCGAATTCGCTGATGAATTAAGAAGCTTGCTTCAAGCGAATAGCAGCAGAGTCGAGAGAATTCGCTGGCGAATTAATGACGTCACTAGACGCGGCTTCTAGCGAATAAAGTCGCTCCGTGTAAATCACGCTTTATTTCCGTACAATTACGTTTTTAGAATTTTCATATAACTGATAGTTCTGACCCGCGAAGGAAATTCTGTCAATTACGTTGAAATTCTGATAACAAAATGCAATTTTGCAAATGCGTGCCTCTATTCTCTATGAAACAAATAATAATAAAATTGAGAGAGAGAGAGAGAGAGAGAGAGAGAGAGAGAGAGAGAGAGAGATAATGGCGTTTATTATAGTTTTAGGGCAAGCCTTCTAAGTACATAAGAAAAATATAAAAATTCAAGACGGAAATGAAAAAAAAACGAAAAAGAAAAACGAAGAAATAATAATAAACAATATTAAGAATCTTTATTTTAGACCGCATATGTGAGAAATACAATCAATATTAGAAATTTTAAATGCCTATTACGGTCGAAGCTGGATCTTCATTGTTTTAAATAATTCAATCTTGAATTACTTATTTATACTATATATATATATATATATATATATACCATATTGCAATCTTTTTAAAATGCGTGCCGAATAATTTTTTCGGACTATACAGATTCTTAATATTGTTTATATTATGTCGCTTGAAAGAAAGACATTGTTTCCTTACTTGTACTGATTATTGCGAAGAATAAAACCTCGGTCTAATAGTTTAGGACATTCGTACCGAGTACAAGAGATCCGGATTCAACTCCCGGCCGAGGTAATATTTTTCACAATAAATTTATTAACAGTTTAGTCAACATATTAACATATTTATAATATGATGCTAGATTGTAGCATCAAATTATTAAAAATTGCTTGTCAGTTTAATTCGTGATTACTAGAGTAGTTTTAATTGCGTTTATAGTCCGGAAAAACAGTTCGGCACGCATTTCAAAAAGACAATATGATATATATGCAAGTACATATATAGTATAAATTAATAATTCAGGATTGAATTATTTAAAGCAATGAAGATCCAGTTTCGACCGTAATAGACATTCAAAATAATAATGATTAAAATGCAAGATAGTAATTAATAAACAATACAAGATAATAATGATTATAAGTACAAAATAATACAAATTGACTACAAAAAAAAAAGAAAAGCATACTATGGAAAAATGAAAAGATAAAAAGATAAAAATAAAAATAAAAATAAAAATTGAAAATAGAAAATAATATTAGAAAGATATACACAAGATTGGAGAGAGAGAGATGAGATTTCCTAAAAGTAGAAAATTTGATTCGGTGATTAGGTGAAAATATGGTCAGGTCTTTCGTCAATTCCCGATAGTACAAGGAGCCGCCGAGTCCGGTAAAAAGTTAAATTGAACGTGGCTTCTCCGGAACATGAGGGGCAAGGAAGGAGAAAAAAACTCGCGGCGAGTAACAGGATACTGATAAAGACCGGTGGATAAAGCAAATAGAATCTTGTTAATCTCTCCGAGCCAGTTTAACGAGACCTAAGCCCTGGATGCCTCTCGCAAGTTTCTAGAAGATAAGGATCATGTTTAACTGTTAATTACGCCTCGATTAGGCGATGATGTGTGAAATGTATCATACGATTTCGAAATCATCATGATTTTTTAAATTGAGCAAGAAAAAAAATAAAAGAAATAAATATCAAAAGCAAATAAATAATTACAATATTTTTAATTGATATTCACAATCTATTCTGATATTTAAAATCATCTTAAGAATAATCTTAAGATGTCATAAACCAGTCGCAGAATCGTACCTTAGCACTTTAAGATATTAGTTAAGATAATCTTGAAATAAGAATGGACTGTAGATAAATATCCCTTAAATAGCATTTGCTAAATTCTCTCAAGAGCTACACGCGACGTTCATTATTTATGACGTTCGCGTTTACTTCGAAATTAACAATTTAAAATTCAAAATTTCTCGAGAATAATTCTCAAGAGAAAGAACTTTCAAAATTCATTCGTGACAAATACCATCCTATCCTCCCATTATTATTGATGATCCTTGCTGTCGGTCGCGTATTCCTTTAAAATATATCTTCCAGAAAATAAGAAAAAATTATACGGACTCAAGATATACATTTTTAATCGCGTACAACAATTCTTTAGAGAATTAATAAATACTTTACGTTCTCGAATTTTTTTTTAAGGACAGCAAGAAATCCTTACAGGATACTTCTCCATCAGACTGTGCGTTCTGGTGACTTGGGTCACCCTGCCATCGAAGGCCTCGGAAGCGCCCGCCCTCTTGTAATCAGCATCGACCTCATCTTCCGCTAACGAGCTGAGAGTGCTGAGACTGTTGTACCACTGCACGCTGCTGGTCCTGTAGGGCTGCCTTGAGGGCTCGTGGCTGTGATGAAGGTCCTTGCTAAAACTCATGCTACGCCTGATCGGCTGCAGGCTATGGTTTATCACCGCCGGTAACTCGGCACTCCTTTTCAACAGAGCGCCGAATTTCCGACGGAACGACGAACGCCGTTCGAGCTTCCCACTTGGATTGTCCGCATCCTCCGCATCCTTCAATGAGGTTTCCTTCAACGATGATCTCTTGATGTTGAAGGATTCTTGAGAGATATACGGCAATATTAACGATCGAAACTGCCTTCTTCAATCTTATATATTGCAAAATAGCTCAAAACGCGTCTTTCTATTCAGGTTCTAATTATGTATACTTGGGAGTTGAAAAATAACATTTTATTCCTATTAAATAACATCGAAACAATTTTGAGCCACTTTAAACATATTTTTAGAACATGAGTTTACTAAAATATAATTTTAATTATTTTTATTAAAATAAAATAATCTAATTTTTACTAAAATTGTTTGCAATTTTATTATTAATTTTAACAAATTTAGATTAAGAACTAAATATAAATGAATTTATTTACTTTAATATTTAAATCATTATTATTCTTGAATTTAGAAAAATTTCAAATTATTTTTTCAAAAAAAATTTAAAAACTTATTTTGATGTGATTACTGTCAATTACAATTATCTTCGTCGAGAAATACTTTCTTTGACAGTTCTTTAGCGGCGTCACATTGTTCGATCTCTGATAATACAGACGCAGCTAACGTAAGCAATTACTTTCCCGACAGTTCCAACGTTTGATGGAAGGCAACGTTAAGATTCCGCTAATGCTTTTCGTATTAAAAATTTTTGCAAAGAGCGATTAATATCCAGTGTTCGCACCTGCTTCTGATTTCGCTTGCTTGCATTCCTTTGTGGGATGTCCCAACTGCGTCGCACTTGCGCTCTCATCATTATAATTTGTTGCTTTGTGGCTCGGCTTGCTCTTTTTCAAGGACCTTTTCGCTTCCTTCTTCAGTGTCATCTTTCCCAGTTAAATCTCACACTAACATCGACCGCACTTAGACACTCACACTCAACATTACGCACGTCACACGGTATGAATGACGATTCATTTATTTTCACTCGATGACCGAGTCACATAACTTTCCGTCTCACAAAATCAACACGTCTTAGTAATTTGCACACACATGCACATTCATACGGCAAATTGTGTCGTTAAACGGTATCACTCCGATAACATGTTATCATTGCAGCAAGAACGATATATCGACTATATCGTTAATATTGCCTCATTCACGCCTTTTTACTTTCCGTGTATTTAGTGAAGTCTGGAAGCTAAGATAAAATCGATCGCATCAGAAGTTGAGAACTTTCTTAACCACCTTTAAGCCGCTGATCCGATTTACGACCTTATATCTGCTACTGTTTTTTCTAAATGCTCTACTTCTATATTTTTAGTCGATACACCGCGCAATATTGCGGAATTGAACTCGTGCTTCTTTTATGAAATGGAAAATATTTCCATTCCATAGAGTCATTTTACTAAAGGTTCTTAGGTTCTCAATGTTTTTCAAAAGAAGAGAAAATTATCCTGTCTTAACGTTAAATAGAAGAATTATAAGGAAAATTATAGTTATTATACATGGCGAGAAAATTTTTCTATTTATGAAGAGAAAACTCATCCTTCACTATTGCTCTCGTTATCATCATTATGTTCATAATTTATCTGTTGGTTCCAATCGAGTGACCAATTACCGAAACAAGACTTATTACTTTAATAAAAGGCGCCGCTTATCGCGATGAAATAAAAAGTCGACGTTTGTTTCATTATCAAATAAAACATAATTCCAATATTTATCACAAATATTATACAATTTCTTTTAAAAAATTAATTTTAATTTTTGGGAGAGAAACATTTCTACATTTATATGTGAAAAATTAAGTCAATCTAATTGCTTAAAAAGCTACTCTTTTTTTTCAATTTCAAAAATAAAAAATGTATGTCTTTACAACAGAAATATTTTTCTATTCATTTTTTTTAACAGTGTTAAAAAATTTTGTCTCGATAATTCGCACTATACTTATTACTATCTTTCGTGCTGTTATTAGATGTGACAAGAGAGTACTCAATTACACCCCATTAAATTAACGCATTATGCATCATAATAACTGCTAATAGTCATTTTGCTACTTTGAACATCAAGATATTTCCGCACGAAATATCACGAAAGCCACGTCACTTAATTTCGTCAACGTTTCACTTATTTCCTCTTTCATAGTCAATTTATTTCAATAATACTTTTGAAAACAAAAAAATAATATTACTACATTATAACTTTATCGTGCTGATTTTTATATTTGAGTTATCATATTTATTCATAATTCATATAAAACCAAAGTATTTTCAGTTATAATTAATGTAATATATTTCACGAGACATTTATCTCTTTCAAATTTTCGCGATTATTATTTTTTCATCTGCCATCAGTAGATCCTTCTCAAGTTTTATTGTAACTTTTGTACTCGCGTGTGCATGCCTTAGATTTTCAGCTTATATACCGTCTATGAATAAGGCCGATAATCAACGTTGATTATCATGCGCTTAACTATATCCCGCACCTTTGCTGCATTCTTTCCGACTCCGCGAAACATAATTCGCGTCGCGTCCAACATTAGCATGATCATGGCTGAATTGCGCGGTCGAATCCCGTATCTGGAGCGCGTAATTTACGCGCCTCGCGCGCCCGCGTATGCAATATCGCGGCATTATCGCGAGAAAAGGGATTATAAGACCGCAGTTAATCCCAACCCGCGATAAGCCCGCACAGACTGCACTCCGTTTATCAGGCGGTGCTGCACAGCAGGTTCACGGACTGCACGCGATAATAACGGATTGCAACGGATTGTCACATAGTGACAAATTATTAATTAATTTATCTATTTACTCTATATTAAAAGAAATGCACTAATTGAAATGAACAAGAAACGAGTAAATGTAATGCACAATTGCTGAAGCATCAGCAAAAATGATGCTGCTACAAATCTATACTGAAAGAACGGTTTTACTGAGGTGTTTAAAAATTTATTTCGAATTGGCTAAGACACTCGCCCGGGAAAGTCGAGAAGTCCCAAGTTTGAATCCTGGCTAAGGTAATATTTTTCACAACTTTTTTTTCCTTTTTTTCTTTCTTTCTTTCTTTCTAATCTAATTTAAGGGAGATTATTAGCGTTTCAAACTGATTGTGTTGAAAGTCCGAATGTTATCAGTGTTCAATCATTTCTAAAATAAATTTGGTTTAATTGAAAATATACATATAATGTATTATTTGAAACATCTAACTTTGACCGATCAAGGCGTTCTCTATCGTAATTTATTAAAAAATTTATAGCTAAATACAGAGATCTGAAAATAGTTTTGACTATCAAAATTATTATTATATGTAGGACATTCAAACTGATTATGACTATAGAATATCAAAATTTTTTTCAGCATTGCTCGTCATATTTAAGACTCTTATGTAATTATGATCTAACAAAATTATTTTCAGATCTGTGTCTACCTAAATTTTTAGATATTTCGGCATAATCGTCCTTTCCATGCATTAGAAACGATAAACGATAATATTACGCAACAATACATCAAGGAGACAACGTACAACTTGAAAACTATAATAATATAATAATATAAATAAATTAAGGTATGAGTAATTATTGTAATTATTGTAACTAATTATTGCGCCCAAATAAAATGTGAATTCTTAGATGTTACCGTTTAATGTACTCGAATGCCAGCCGACCGCATCTTCGATAAATATTTGTCGACATTACTTTGCGTTTAATCGCAAATCGCGCCTAATCGCAATGATCAGATCGCATCAGGAATACGACTTGCTCGGATAAATTTCGCGCGAACGATATCTATATCAAATTCCTTCGAAATTTCGACATTCGTGCGAACGCATAGGTTTTTTAGAACATGTCTTTCCTTTCACTTTTATTTACCGTGCGTATTATAAATCCACTAAACAACCTATATATAATTCGTTTCATATTTCGAAATTCTGTTTATAATTTTAACGTGTATTTTGATGTATGCTTTATTGTACTTTAATGTACATTTTATATATATATATATATATATATATACACACACACACACACACACACACACACACACACACATGTTCATTTTTTAAATGTTTCTCTTATTATAGTATTGTAGTATATCACATAAAATTATAATTAGAATTTTATTCTTTCTAATAATAAATCTCTAAAATGAATTTGAAATACCATCAAAGATAAGTTCAATATCATATACTATTCATTTTTATCTCTTACATTTCCTGTTTTCTTAAAGACACAATTTATTTTTTGTTTCCAAGAAAAAATTTAACAATTGTAAATGCATTGTGATCATAATTACTAGAATAAATTGATAAATTTAGATATTTTTCTTTCTGTTTATCGCAAAGATCTGTTTAAGCCGTATTCTCTACAACAATACTCTCTATAACAATACATTATTATAGGGAATATATATTTTCCAAGAATCAGTGGAGATAATATGTTATCACGCGATTGTCATATTGTGAAATTATACGTTATGCGTTATATAACGATTTTTTCTATTATTGCGCCAAGTCTATAAGATTAGATGGATACAATAAATGTACAGCAAATAGTCAAAAACGCAGTTTTAAAATTGAATTGTCAGTAGGTATGGTTTTGCGATCAACTTGTGAGTTAAAACAGACGAACGCAAAATGTGATTTTAATTGATCGAACGTGACGTTCAACTCTTTCTTGTGGACTCTCGTGTAAAAATGCAAACCTACGCAGCAAAATTTTGACGAGCACTATTTCGGAATTGGAGATAAGCCGCCGAAACAGACTACAATTTAATACATACTGGATCCATACAATTAATAGTATGCGATAAAAAGATTCAATTTAAAAAGTCATTTGGCTAGCAAACGTATAGCATGTAATAGTTTCTTTCTACAATAAATATTCTTTTTAATCTAGATTACCATGAAAATTGAAAATTTCGTCACTTTAAAAATAAAATGAACAATTAGATGTAACTTTTTAAATTACTGATTATTAGAATGTTTATTTGAAAATATAATTTTTCAATAATATTAAAAAAAGTATATTTTGATACGTGCTTATTATACAGGATATCTTGAAATTCGCAATTCAAAATACTACAGCAAAATAGTTTCCGAGAAATTTAGTAAAAAAATTATTTATTTTAATTATTTAAATTTATTTTAAGCAGTAGTTTTAATATGAGTTTAAATATGGCCAATTACAAATTATGTTTATGTTGTCACCTGTCCATGAGTTGCGTGTGCGGTAATTTTAGTAAGCTTCAATGCCACGCGCGCACTAATTCGCAATAATATTCGCAGGTGATATTATTTAAAGTCGTCTGTAATTATATACTTATCTTAAAAAATCTATTTAAAATAAAAATTTACAAATAACTTTTAATTTAATTCAAGAAAAATTTCTAGTTGAGAATAAACGAACCAGAAGATAATATTCTAATCACATTAAACAGAATTCTGATTATTTCAACTACAATCATAATAGAATCAATTATAAAATTTTGATTGATCTATTTTCAATCAGAATTCCAATTAAAGCAATCAGATTCTTTGTCCAGTATAAATATAGTATTTTGAGTCACGAATTTCGGGACTATACATTTTAAATATAGATTTGTTCTGATTTTTCAAATGTTTCCGTCATATTACACGTCACATAAAATTCTAACTAAAATTTATTTTACGCCGAATTCCATAATAATAATTAATTATTAACTACAATAATAATTAATAAATTATGGTATCATTTTGCGACACTCGGTTACTTGACCTCGATAATTATCGATACTAACTCGTCACAAATGGCCACAACAAGTAAGTCGAGATCCGCGCGTTTCACCAATATAATTCCGTCAATTAAAGTTTCTCTTTCGTCGCGGAATCGATCGGATTGTTAAGTCGGTCAAGGTTACGGTTTATCGACAATTGTACAACACCCCGTATAGGTGGAATATTCGATCGGTCGCGTATTTGATTCGTAATAGCAACGCGAGTCTTTATCTCTCTCTCGTCGTGCCATTTTTATGGCTGCTTGCACGGCTGCATAAACACGGAAAGGGCATGGATAACCGTGATTTTATTAATTCGATTTTCTAGCCGTGAGAAAGGGAGAGAAAGAGAGAGAGAGAGAGAGAGAGAGAGAGAGAGAGAGAGAGAGATATGCCGGAGAAACTTTGCCGGGAAAGATTCACATCAAAGCATACCGTTCAAACTCGTGAGATTTCTCTCTTGCAGTATTAATATTGCTTGGTTAAAGTCTTTAAAATTCGAAATATAAGTGGCGAACAATAACATAAACTTTTAATACTAATATCACTTTTAATACTAATATATTAGGTGTTGGAATTAATTCGTAGCGTTTTTTAATGAAAGAATGTTATTTATTTCACATGAGCATTAAAAAATACATTAATGAAAGTACTTCCCATCACTTGTAAAACGCTACGAATTAATTCCAACACCTAATAGATTTTGTTACATACGGAGAAAAATAGTTGAATAATTTTTATCTAGTTTGTTCTTTTGCAAGGGAATTTTTATCTAGTAAAAATATTCTGGCTATTTTTGCCGAACTTATGACAACTTTACTTGTCTGAAAGTAAAAATATCGAAGGTAAGATAAAAGGTACATACATTACGATTAAATATAATAAATCCATTCAAATAATTATTACTTTACAGCATACTATTCAAGATTGTAAACATGAATAACTTTCAAGATTTTATTTTTTTATCACTATTATTTTTTATCACTAGCACTTGTATTTTTTATCATACAGTAAAGTAAATTTTGTCAGCACTAAAACAAAAATATTCGTTAAAGCAAAAGCTTGATAAAATAAATTAAGATGTATAATAATTTATAGATTTACTTTACAAAATGTAAGAAGTGGCTTACAGTGTTGCTATACGACGATCGCTTATTTATATATCAAAAAAATAAAATAAATTTTACATAAGTGAATGCCAGTACCCATGTGGACTTTGAATTTCATAAAATTTATTAGAATTTTAGAGCGCATTCATAAATAATTGCTCTGCAACGCGCACTAGTCACATATAATTTGTATAATGTATTTATTATCAGTATTATATGCATATTACTTTATATTTTTTCTGTATATTTTTTCTGCATCGCGCATTGTCCGGATCAAACGTTTAAAATAATTTTAGACAATTTACGATTGCACGCACACACACACACACACACACACACACACGCACGAGACATACTACTGCGCTGTTTAAACTTTCATTCTGATTCTCTCCGGATCGCGGAAATTTCACCCGAACGTTAAAATCACTCCGCAACGCGCACTCGTCATATTTATGCAATATATTTATTATCAATATTATATGCATGCGATTTTGTTATACGACAATCATATCATTATTTTATAATCGGTCGTACGGGAAAATGACATATGCGCTAATTTTATATTTATTATCAATGCGAACATCTCTGACGGTCCGACAGTTTAAGCCTGCATAAAATCCGTATAATTAAGGTACACAATCACTGATACTTTCAATAATTCTCTCCGATCGACGCGTATAATTAGTCGGAATTTTAATTAGAAAAATGCGACGCGCATACATGGACGAGCATTTCGTTACGTGAGAATTCATCGACGTTTTTAATGGAGCAAAATTATAAGAATTATAAGGATTTCTCCCGGAATATTCTGATGCAATATCGCGGTGCGCTCGCGTCGTACACTCGCGTTTCCGCACTGAACCAAAGTAAATTTCGCTGTCTCTAATCAAGTCTTTATTAAAAACACACAGCTCTGAGACCAATTTCACAAAGATAACGAGCACACTGAGCCGATCCAAGGCCGTTTCTTATCGCCACATATACGTGTAGTTGCATCGTAATATTCCACTGGCAGTAATTCAATTTACATTACATGCACATCGCGATCGATTACGAAAAAGAGCCGTTCTCGGCAGAATTCGTGATTTTTTTCCCCCGTCCTTCTTATTGGTTTTCCTCTTAATTCCGTTTTTCTCGGGTAACCGATGAAGTGGAAACGATGTGACACGCGATGATAAGGCCGCGCTTCGGCAACTGACGAAGGTGCCCGCGCTTCATTATTGGTTCGGTATTACTGGTGACTGATAATACGCCACGTAGCTGATAAACAAACGAAGCGCGTCAAATGAAAAAAAGATATACAGATGAAATCTTATTGTACTCCAAGATAAAATGCGATTTTCTCGCAAAACAAAGACGAGTCCGCCAACTTTATCATTCGATCTTTTCTAATTATTTAAAAACAAATTAATTGATTCTTTGTAAAATATCTACAATGAAAAACATGAACAATGTTAAGTGAGAATCGACCGAAATTAAACACACATGAGTGACAATGCGGTCTCTCAAGGCGACCTAATAATATTTCTTGTGAATTTATATAAGAGAAAAATGGAATTATTATAATTTAACTATAACTCACTTTCGTTATATATATATATATATATTTTATTAGTAGAATTATAAATATAATTATTATTAGTAACATTATAGTAATAATTATAAAAATGAACTTTCTAACCATAATTATTTTATCAATTATAATCACAAATATCAAATACTTTTTTCACAGTGTTAGTATAACAAGGCAGAGAATTTACGTTTCGTGAACTTGTTTTCCAACGATGATAAGATTAACAGTATTGATTGCGAATAATTAGCAGTTTAATGTAAATTTTATTTATGCAAAGATCGCACGCGAACCTGTTAAAGTTATATATTTAATCAACGCTCCGATAAGACTTGTCCCTCGTAAGCGCTCGATGTAAAAGCCACCCTCACGATTCAAGGGCTGAATTACTTATGAAGAAATCCCGTTCTTTCTGTTTTCTTCCTGAGTTTCACCCATTTCTTTCGCGTCGATCGGCGATTTTTATCGATATTATCTCATTTTCCGTTCAATAGCGGTGGCACCG